TGCAATCCCTTGTTTCGAAAATGGTAGTAGAAAAGTACGCAAAGTAGGCAGTTAGTAGTGAAATTCCTTTCGTAAATTCCAATCTATTTGCAGGAAATCTGGCATTTTAAACGAAATGTTGAACGTAGTATTGATATATCTACGTTAATTACGTAATTTAGATGCTATTTAGCCGTATAAAAACTGCAAAATGACTCAAAATTAAAATAAGACTACTATGAGATTGATGTAAACATCCAATGCTTATGTTTTCATCAGTTAAATATGCTTCATATGCATATACAAATAAACATATTGCACAAAAGCTTATACTTTTATTTCACACCAAAGCTACACTGTTTCCATGTAAATTTGCAAAGAAGCAACACGGTGCCACTGCTAAGGGAGCGGTGCGAGAGAGACAACTGTCAGTTTATCGAACCTTGTATTATTGAATCATGATCCCACTAGACTGAACGACTTCGAACTCGTCTAAAGGGGGAGTAATGTGGCCACTCTGAACTTTACACATAGGCTCTGGCAACCCTTCAAGCTAGCAAACTCTTTTTCTCGATCTTCATTTTTTGACATTCTTTTTTGCTCTGCGTTTTTCCTTCTTCTCTGGAGGACATCGTAAGCGATAACACGCAATTTTGTAAAAGTGTAAAAAATAGTAGATTTTAAATCAATAAATATTCCGATAATCAACTAAGATTAGTACCATTTATTTCTGTGAAATAAATGTGCTAAATAGATGGGCATGCATGCATACTTGCATACTTGTATGCTAGGCAGTACTAAAAGTTAGCCAATTCCTTCCTTATATAACTTTTAAATATGATCTGAATTTACGGTTTAATGCTTTCACCGAAATGAAATGCATCTGTAAATTTTCCAGATTAAGACCATGATGCAATATTGGGCTGTTTTTGCTTACGCGTAAAAGCACATTCAGCGCATTAAGCTCTAAATGCTTCTCTAAATGTACATTTATCCATACAATATTCGTCACCTAAATGCAACTAAATGCAACTAAATTTTTGCATTAAGAATCTAAATGCTAAAAGCAACCCTGTGATCTTCCAAAATTTCCACGATTCGAACATAGTTTAATGAGAGAAAGTGGCAACATTGCTTTTTCGAGTTTACAGTGGCTAGCTGCGTTTCAGTAATCGCCGATCGAGATTTCATTTATTATTTTACATTATTTGGATAAAGAAAAGTTAAGCAAATTCAACATCGATGTGATGCTGATAGAAATCTGGACCAATCTGTGATCAACTCTGTTTGTTTTGTTTCCTGATTAAATGAGGAAATCTTAGTTGACAGCACCGACAAATGAATATATACATAAACAAATGTTCGGTTATGGTTAAAACAATTCAAGTTTTTGTATTGAATTTTTGGTTAAAAATTTATTTTTTCCTTTTCAGTAGGGTTTTTGCACATTATCTTCAGCGTGAGAATTGATCTTAATAGATACGTATCTGAATAAGCGACTGGAATACGGCTGTTTGTCAAAAGCATACGATTTCGAACCCGCGTAAATGTTCATTTGCTCAATGCGATGGCATGAACGTCCTTCGAAAACATATGTTCGAAAGTGCTAAATGTTGCATTTTAAATGCAGCAAAAACGCTGCATAATACAAGGTGGTATCAGTTGTGACAGCCCGATCTGACACAGCCTTTGCTAAGTAAATAAGAAGAAAAACAGGAAGAAATTTATCCCCATTTGGGGGAAAAATATACAATTTCATATTTTTTTCCAAACAAAATTTGCTTNGTTGCCAAAAATGGAAGAACTGAACTTGGTTGACATGTGGTTTCAACAAGATGGCGCTACATGCCACACAGCTCGCGATTCTATGGCCATTTTGAGGGAAAACTTCGGAGAACAATTCATCTCAAGAAATGGACCGGTAAGTTGGCCACCAAGATCATGCGATTTGACGCCTTTAGACTATTTTTTGTGGGGCTACGTCAAGTCTAAAGTCTACAGAAATAAGCCAGCAACTATTCCAGCTTTGGAAGACAACATTTCCGAAGAAATTCGGGCTATTCCGGCCGAAATGCTCGAAAAAGTTGCCCAAAATTGGACTTTCCGAATGGACCACCTAAGACGCAGCCGCGGTCAACATTTAAATGAAATTATCTTCAAAAAGTAAATGTCATGGACCAATCTAACGTTTCAAATAAAGAACCGATGAGATTTTGCAAATTTTATGCGTTTTTTTTAAAAAAAAAGTTATCAAGCTCTTAAAAAATCACCCGTTATATGCGTAATGCATTGAAACAACATGTGTATATCTGTAAAGAATAAAGGGAATGCCGCAGTATACTAAAGCCAGCCATTCGACATAAGCTACTTTTCCATACGAACACAGTGACTCACACTCAAATCATAGAGTGATATTATCACAGTATTCCAAGGTGTATTAAACAAGGTGGTGTTGGGGCGACAGCTGGGTTTTTCGCCGCGGAGGCCATTACGTCAAAATGATGTGTTTGTTGTAATTCATACCAATGACAGTATGGACATCAGCGTATAATTTGTTAGTGTAATTTTTTACTTATATACGGCCAACACCACCTTGTTAAATACGCCTTGCAGTATTCCCAATGATTTTTCATTCTATATCGGTATCGAAAAAATATCGATGTCTGCAAAAAAAACATTATCGAGTATCGATACTGACATCGATATATTTGCAGCTCTACGAGCTGCCAACCGATAACACCTTGCATTATTGCATCATAGATTAAGACGACTCTTCTTGTATTTTTTTTTTTTGGTTCAGATGCTTTGTAGGGCTTTCGCACGAGGCGATTTTTCAGGCAACTTTTAGTTGAAAGTAAAAATCGCCTCGTTCGAACGGCCTTTCAACTAATCGCTTTCAACAAAGTTGGTCGCCAGCCAACTTTGAGCTCGTTCAACTTTTTTTCCTTGCAACCCTGTGTTTGTTTACATTCTGTATCAGTGTTGGAAAATAAAATTGTTCCTTCAGTACGAAATCTATACAAAAAATGTACTTTTCGGCTATAAATTGTACATACTTTTTAATTCGCTCATATATTTTCTCAGTATATTCCCTTCAAGACCAATGATTTTATGGTATTCATGAGAAAGTTTTATTGTTTATGTACATACGTTTACGTATTTTACACTTTTACAAATTGATTCCACGCGCACATGTACTGCATTTAACGCAAATATGTATGTACACATTTTCAGGTATACATCTTAACAAAAAGCATATTTAAGTTATTATTTATGGATAAAAGAGACATTTTCCTTTGGATTCAGTACTAAAATTTTACATTTTAATAGCACTTCAAGTGCTTATCAAAACTTTGCGACAAGATTTGACCATTTATCTTATTATTATTCAATTTTAATTATTTTTTTTAAATACTGTTTATATTTTAAGAAAAGCCGTACAAATCCAAGGTTCAAACTTTGTGCAACATTAAAAAAAACTAACAACACTTTCGTAAAAATTTCGAACTTTTTAATTCGATTTCCTAGATTTATTTTGAGTGTGCGGTTTTTAGCCCATTAAATTTTAATATAACTAAGTTTTTTAAGATTTCTTTGATGAAGGTGTTGCTAATTTTCTGACAGCTGACATCGTCGACAAAAAAAATTGCCAAGTTCAACAGTATGTCCCAGCTACTTTAAAATTTTTACGAAAGTATGTTGTCTTTTGGCTGTTTCGCAAAGATTTAATCTTGGGTTTATACAGTTTTTCTTAAAGAATACATTATATTTTATAAACAGATAATTAAAATTAAAGAATAATAAAATAAATAGTAAAATCTTGTCAATATGTGAGTGCCGTAAAGGTATTATATTTAAGAAAATCTCTTCTTAAAACTAACGAAGGCTTTGTTTCTATATGAAGCTGACTTCGACATTTTGTTTTAATAAAACTTAGTATCGAAAAGTTTCTTTAAAAATTTGCCTAGGCTATATTATACTGGTTCGTTCAAGCCATTTTTCAAAACAAAACAACAAAAGAGAATACAAAAAATTTCTTGCTGTGAATTTTCAGAGCTATATATATTTAGTATTGATTACAAAATTGTACTAAAAAGTACTGCGTAGTAGGAAAGTATATTGTAAATGAAATTGTATCAAACAAGTACAATTATACCAAAAATGCCAACACTGTTCTGTATACATACTTTTTCTTCTTTTCTACTTTTTACTCTTATTTTATCTTTCAGCTTCGCTAAAAGCACTTCTACCAACGCTTGGCTTACCAAATTTACGCCAATTGATAAAATTTTGCGATTTAAATTCATTTTAAATAATGTAAATAACTATTCGTGTTGAATTGAAAATCGCCTCGTCTGAATAGGGATAGCAACTTTATCACTTTCAACTTCTCATTCAACTCCGTATTCAACTTTTGTTGCCTGTAAAATCGCCTCGTGCGAATGCCCTATTGGTAAGCGCCATTTATTGTTTTCGATCGCAGCATAGTTCTGCTACATACATACATAAGTAATGAGATTCCATAAAGCCCTCACCAAATTCGCTCAATAATATATCTTCAGCATTGTCATAAGAAAATAGTTACTTACTGTCCCAACGACTACATCCAAGATACGTGGAATCGAAAATTTTAAATTAAATGTGGTCAATTTACTTAACATATGCTTAATATTCGAGCACGGAATTCTCTTGGGCATACATACAGATGTACAAAAAATGTATATACTTTTATATAATTCAATTCAGCAATACCTAAAAATGTGGTGGTCATATGTGACTTCGCTGCTATGAGCACCGTGCCCATCGGTACACCCAAACCGATTCAAACCTAGTGTCATATCATCAGGAGAGGTGAAGGAGATACTGTGAAACCTTGCGTTAGGGCTCCAGCAAGCGTAGTCAACCATTTGACGAAAAGCTTTGTTAGGCAACATCCATAAACGCTTGCCAGATACGATTTGATGCCGCTGTTATAGCCGGCTTTCAAGGACCACTTAAGTAGACGCCTTAGTATTACTTACCTTTCGAACTATTCGATGACACTGAAAGGAATATTCGCGGTAAAGATCTGTGGCGTTTACATTAAATGTGTAGCAAATACCTTCTTCGATGTGGGAGCGTGGGAGGAGTTCATGATATTCACGTGACGTAACAAAAAAAGTAGTATGAGACGATAAGTTGAGTATTGCGGATATAGATAGGAGTGTGAGGAATTCTTCCAACTCCTCACCACTAACATTTTTCAATTCAATGATTCGACTTGCCGTCATTCCATTTCCTGTAAGCGCTTAATGTGATATTTGATCAAGATTTTGAAGCCAAGAATACGCAAAGGAAAAGTATTCTCTCTTCTACGAAGCGGCGATGTATTGGCGTACACAAAGTATACATATTTGTTTAATATTCTTCCCAGCCGCTTAAAGTGTGTTTGCATTGTTCAACTTTGGGTTCAAAAAAAGTTGAATGGCTAAAAATATCAAAATATGAAAAAACATCAAAATATTCGCCATAAAAAGGTGTTTTCTTGTTCTTCTTTGCATCCAACTTTTGGTTGAATGGCCTTCCAACTAATTGCTTTCAACAAAGTTGGTCGCCAGCCAACATTTAGCCATTCAACTTTTTTTTTCGTGCAACCCTGCGTTGAGTTGAACGCAAATGTTGAACGCAAAGTTGAACAATGCAAACACTGCTTTATGTTGCTGCATTTATTGGTTGGGACTGTTTATCTTTTCTAGTCAAGGCTCTATTTTATCAGAATGAAAATCCATTGTGCTCATTTCTAAATTGAACAGGGAAACCGAACAATCTGTGAAGAGTTACTGCGTTCCAGAACGTCTACGATTTGCAGGTTTCGCAGGATTTAGTCCAAAGTCGTTCCCGTACGCCACGTTCACATAAGGTTTATTAAAGGCGAAAAGAGCTGTTCCTGTAAAACCTGCAAATCGTGAAGTACGGGAACAGGCTAAGTAATAGAAATTTGATTAAAAACAAGTAAGAAAGTCTAAGTTCGGGCGGAGCCGAACATTAAATACCCGGCGCAAGTATTAATTAAATGGTTTTTCACCTTTCCGAAGGCTACCGCTACATGGTAAGCAGGGGTGTATCAATTTTTAGTAAATTAGCGTGCTTAAATTTCGAAATATCGCAGTTTCAAGCATTTCTGAAATTTACCGTTATATGAAAAGCGGCCGTAATTTCAGTCCGATTTCAATAATTTTCAACGTTTTGCTTTTATGTGGCAAGCACAATAAAAATACCGAATTTGGTACAAATTGGTAGAACAGTTACCGATATACATATATGTGATTATAAGTGGGCGGTGCCACGCACATTTTCCAAAATTTTACCATAGACGTATTTCTTGGTAAAGAACTGTTGCAAGCATCAATTTTGAATAAATTACCTTTAATATTTACTGATTTATCGAAGATTTTGTATTTCTCTAAACGACCGTTATATGGGATGTAGGCGTGGTTATTGTCCGATTTTTTAAATTTTCGGCCATTTAGTATGCTGTACCAAGGCCAACAGCTGCGCCAACCTTGGAAGAAATTGGTGCAGCGGTTAACAAGATACACACATGTAACCATAAGTGGGCGTGGCTACGCCCATTTTCCAAAAATTTAAAATATTCTTATTTTTCGTCTAATTTTAGTAAATATCAGTTTTGAGTGAATTATCTTCAGTAGTTACTAAAATATCGCAGTTTTCGTATTTCTGGAAATTACCGTTATATGGGAAGTGGGCGTGATAACAGTCCGATTTCGCCTATTTTCAATACCAACCTACCTTGGATTAACGGAAACCTACACACCAAATTGCGTTGAGATATCTCAATTTTTGTTTGAGTTATCGTGTACACGGACGGACGGACAGACGGACAGACGGACCGACAGACAGACATGGCTTAATCGATTTCTCTTTTCATTCTGATCATTTATGTATACATTTGTCTATATCTCTCTCGATTCGTTTTGGCTGTTACAAACAACCGTTATTTGAACAAAATTAATATACCCTTGTGCACAAGTGCGCTCGGGTATAATAAGGAGAATTGGAATATATTAAAGTATTCCAAATTACACTACTTACAGCCTCGTGGTGATTTATTGAATGACATTTATGTCAATCAGGAAATTGTTAAGGGCCGGTTGCTCAAAGCCTGGTTGGCACTAATCCCCGATTAAACATCGTTATCGACGTTACCGACACCGTGTTATATATATGGAGTCGAAAACGTCGATAACGATGTTAACTGGTGATTGGTGTCAACCAGGCTTTGAGCAACCGGCCCTAAGTATGCCACTGCAGTGTAACCAGTGATGAAAAAATTAGTACAATTATACCCACTTTAAGCCTACATACTTAAGTTGAAAGTGCTTTCGGTACAAGCATGCAGTTTAAGCATATTTTTTGCAATTTAGGCGCATAAAATCCTGTTTTAACGCATTATCTTTTACTTTTCTTGGCCTAATATGAAAATGTATGCACCCATATTTGCTCTTTATGCACATATATATACGTAGGCACATTTTTTCGAATAAAGTACCGGTTGCAAAATGTGACTTTTCATCTCTAAGTAGAGCACAGCTGTCAAGATGAGCGCCATCTACCGCAATCGTTAGAAAACTATACAACTAGCAAGGCACACCAACATATATATGTGAAATAAAGGTGAATTTTTTTTCTTTTGGTGGTAGGCCTTTGTGTTTATTGTCATATTAACCCCAACTACGATATTAAAGCAAATATATTATAATGGTCGATACAATTTGGCAGACCACAGATGTGAGCATAGAAACCGTCAATTGATAACAATGGGTAGGTTCAGAAGGCGCAGCAGTTGAGCGCAACCGTTGCTCAGTGATCGTTATGCGTCTTCGGAACGGCTTGATACTTTAGCTGTGAAATTCAACTCTCAGAGGTACACACCAACATGTTGCCTCAAATGATCAGAAAAATATTACGATCATCTAACACGCAACTGTTCAGTTGATCAGAAGTACACAACATCGCGTTCAGAAGGTGCATCGCAACAGTTACAGTGGCTACACACCAGACTCCTGCACTGAATGAATAAAACACAACGTTGAGCTGCTTGTGAGAAACTAAGTGTGAAGCAAGCGAAATAATCACGGAGAGTAAGCAAGTGTGAATGGCGCTCACTTATTGTTATGAAGAAGAGAGCGCCGGCTTTTGAGATAGTGAGCTTGTGTTGAGCGCGTAATCACAAGTGTTTGGCTTATGAGCAGCGTTGCCGTTTTGGTCCAATTGTACCAAAATTGGTACAATCATTCTCCGCTGGTAGCTTGGTTGGTTTGATGAAGCTTTTGGTAGGCAAAATTGTTTTGAAAATACAATCAAATTGAACTTTAAAATTTGTTTGCTTAATTTAAGTTTACACGTTCAAAACCCTGCTTTCACTTTGCTTACACGTAAAGATTTCTTTATTTTGTTCTTCATTTTATTAAACAGACAATTTTCTGCAAAGAAAAACTCACTTCCCAAAGCTATGACCGATTAGCTGTTGAAATTAACGAGAAATTTCCTATTGTCTTGAAAGAAAAGTTGGTGATAGGCAATTTGCAAAGTGTGAGTGTATTGGTAATAAAAAAGGGTGAGTATATGCAAACTGAATCAAACTTCGATTTCTTTATTGAAATGCATAAAATGTCGGCCTTTGTTTATTCATACACAAAAAAAAATTTTTTGATATGAATTCAATCAATCTCAAAAATATTTACTTATTTTACAAAAGTTTTTTATACAATAACTTAATTATTTTACTTAAAGGCCGGAATTTCTTTTGTTTAATCTGAAAGATTGGTGTGAATAATTAACCAATACTGTAAACAATATTACGTGCAGTTTTAATTTTTACTGCTAATTTGTGTAGCTAAAAATCTCGCAAACTCGAGAAATCTCGTTTTAATGATGAACAAAGTTTGGTAGTTTGGAAACTGATTTGGTAGGCGTTTTGGTACCTAAAAATATTTTCAAGAGGCGACACTGCTTATGAGCAGAAGTGGGCACTACCACAAACAAGCGTGAGCTAAAAGTGAGAATGTGTTAGTGTATGCAAGTCATTTTGCATGCTGGCGCGTTCTCATCGTTACGCTCTCGCTTGTATACGTACACGCGATGCTTACGCTCTTTTATCACCTGCTAAGTCTCTGCCCATCAGTGTTGCCAGGTTTTCGGCATGAGAAAACGTCCCTCTTGGTCTGAAAAAACGTCATTTCCTACCCAAAAACGTCTTTTCCATGTATGCACACAGAATTGTTCTTATTAAACTTTTATTGTATACAAAGATACGTAAGGTATATTAAAATGTCACTTCGACAGAACACATTTAAAATTCATTAGTGGTATCAGCCAAAGTGAGCAAGTGGCACTCTGGCAAAACAGCAGATGAGCTCAAGCAACGACTGTTGACAACAATTTGGTGAAAACCACTATTGTAAACTGGTTTGAGATCATTAATATAAAAATTATTTTATACATACAGCAGATTAAGTCATCAAAATTTTGATCGATTTTGGCTGTTTTTCTTTTGTTTATTTAATGTTTATTTTTGTGTAACTAACCCAATATAAATCCACATTTCAAACTTTGAGCAAAAATTATAAAAAATCTGCAAAGTTTCACCTAGATTTTCATGTTTTTATTCAGATTTTTTAGAATATTTTTGAGTATGCAGTTTGATAGCCCATTAAATTCAAGGGCACTAATGTGCAAACTTTAACTTGCTAAAGAATCGCGTTGATTTTTAATATTTTTTTTCTTTTAGACATTTGGTTAGGTGGTCGGTTGTAGAAAATGCGAAATTACGTTCTGCTATGAAGGAACTGTGCCGCTGTGGTGTAGTGGTAAGCAGTGCGCGCTTCCACTTCTCAGCACCTGGGTTCAAACACTGGTCAAAGCAACATCGCAAAAATATAGAAAAAAGGTTTTTTCTTAACAGCGGTCGTCCCTCGGCAGGCAATGGCAAACCTCCGAGTGTATTTCTGCCATGAAAAACAGCTTATCATAAAAATACAATCGCCGTTCGGAGTCGGCGTCAAACTGTAAGTCGCGTCATTTGGTGTGACAACATCAAGGCGCACGCCACAAATCGGAGGAGAAGCTCGGCCAAACACTAACATATGTGTAAGCGCCAGTCTATTATTATTATTATTATGAAGCAACATACTGCTTTTGCGAGCGCGCGTGTTGCAATAGATCAGCTCTTCCTGATTTGGCTTTTAATAGGCAATTGCAAACATTGTAATAAGCCTTGTAACCTCAAGTGCTTACACAACCAGCATTTGAACGCGGGATCCTTAGTCAAAGAATTAAGTCATATGTGTTCAAAGAATAAATATCTTTTGAGGCACCTGCTGCAAAGAACAAAGCTTGTAAAGCTTTATTAAGA